CCTTAGGACTTCCGACAGATGGCGGTACAAACATGTATATATCAGACGTAGAATACTCAGGCCACGACAGGCGTCAGCATCAAAGTTACGAGACGTCTGGTACTACGATCGCTAATCCGACTACCAAGCGGCAATTTTTTCTTTTGCTTCTTGGGAATATTGTCCAGCAGTGGAATTCTATGTGCCAATAAAGAAAAGAAAGAATTGTATTTTATTTTAATATAAACGTGGTAGAGCCATGCTGCAATATATAGTTGTAGCACGAATAAGACCACGCTCTCACAGAATACAAGCGTAAAATAACACTTTTTATGTTGCCGCGTTTTGCATGTCGAGTTTAGAGAACCAGAGACTCCTTTTTACTGGAAACGAGGCATTTCATCTTAGTCATCAGGGGTGACAATGCATCTGCATTTTGATTTTTGATCGAAGAAACATGTAGATGCCTGGACCACAACATCAAACTATCATTAGGTCCACTATGTCGACACCAGCAATTTATACTAAGCTAACTCATAAAAGTGAACTTTACAGTAGAGGCATATGAAGGGAAAAACGTGATAACTTTTATATTAATTAAGATACTTATTTGAAATTTGGTATGCTTAATATATAATTTATTCATCGTAATTTCCCATATTTATTTTTCCTTAGTTATTTATATTCTTTGATTTAGCGCAAATTAGCCGTATATACACGTAATTCCTCAATAAGATTTTACATATTACATACGTTTAACTAATGTTAGCGTAGAGTATTACGGGAGATCGTAATGCTAAAGAAGTGTTATATTTTTTGCTTTGCAATCATAATTGTAAAATATATTATGCATTAATTATAACCTTAGGTTTTTATATATATTCACAAGCTATATTATTATAAATTCTTATGCTAAATAACAAGTTATTAAAGTTAGCTTTATTTAACCGGTACCATGTATCACTGGCGCATATCGTATTAAAAGCCGTCAAATTAAATATCGCATACTATACATCGACTTGTGCTATAAATTACCATATCATTTAACTTTCCGTTGAGCTATAATACATGTAGATTTTTATAAATTCTTGATAAATTCTGAAGATAATATTATTTTTTGTAGGTAAATATATAATTAAAACAAAAATAGTAATCAACTGTTTATTTAAATTTCAGGTAAGTACTTATTAATTATTAACATCACAGTTCCACTTCGTATATTATATTTAAATCAAGATTGCACATAATTGTTATTCTTAATAAAAAACAAAAACTTCTAAGTGGTAAATATAAATCAAATAATTTAAACAGTATGTTGTAATCATTAAGTACTTATAATCATTCAAACCTCATCATCACTTACAATCTTCTCATCATATTCAGTTGTTAATAAATTCCTATAAAATGTATGATACTTTTCGGGTATAATATTATTATCACAGTAGTATTTTAAATCTTTATATTTTGCTTCATTAATTTTTAACAAAGTTTTGTATGCTTTTTCGGGAAAAGGCTCCAAGTGGGATAATCTAGTAGATTTCTTTTTAAAACATTGTATTTGATTGCTGTCTTTATCACCTAAATTATATTAATATTCCAACAACCCGTAATTATCGGGAGAAACTTCAATTTTTTTACTTTATTCCACATAATTTTATCGTTATTTAAATTTTTAGTCCAATTTTTTTGCTAATATTACTTTTAAAATCAAATATCATGTTTTGATTAACCTCGATAACATTATATGGATTCCCATTGACCTTTGCCCATCGTACTAGTGAATACCACTCATCCGGCGAATATACCTCTCTACCTCTTGCAGTTTTTTCTATCAAAGCGTGAACTGAATCTCCTTCATTCTGTGTATGGCCCTTTTCCATAATCATCATCATCATCATTACAGCCCTTCACAAGTCCACTGCTGAACATAGGCCTCCCCAAGTAATGCCACAAAGCACGGTCCTGAGCCACCTGCATCCATCGACTTCCTGCATATCTTACCAGGTCGTCACTCCATCTAGTGGGGGGGTCGCCCTACACTACGCCTACCGGTACGAGGCTGCCACTCGAGAACCTTTCTTCCCCATCGGTTATCGGTTCTTCGAGCTATATGGCCGGCCCATTGCCACTTCAGCTTACTAATCCGTTGGGCTATGTCGGTCACTCTGGTTTTACTGCGGATATCCTCATTTCTGAGTCTATCACGCAGAGAAACTCCGAGCATAGCCCTCTCCATAGCTCGCTGAGCGACCTTGAGCGTCCTCATACGGTCAGCAGTGAAGGACCACGTCTCTGATCCGTAAGTCATCACTGGCAATACGCACTGGTTGTACACTTTAGTTTTCAGAGATTGAGGTATACCTGACGAGAAGATGTGTCGTAATTTCCCGAACGCTGCCCAGCCCAGTTGAATCCGTCGATTGACCTCTCGGTCGAAGTTGGACTTACCTAGTCGGACTATTTGTCCCAGGTAAACGTACTCGTCAACAACTTCGAGCATAGTGCTCCCAACAACTACCGGCATAGGTGTGACATGGACATTAAACATGATCTTTGTTTTGTCCATGTTCATCTTAAGACCTGTCCGTTAGGATTAAGAGTGTGATTGGAGAATTTTTGTGTTCTTCTGCGGCGGGTCTTGCAGAACTTAGCTCCGACCGCATGGACAGTTTCCACGAGCTTGTCATTCATATCGTCCACTGCATTGCAATCTTGTAGGCACTGAAAGCGGTTGTGTAACTCGAGCTGAAAGTTTTCGGGATTCTGGATTAGAGCACGAGGGGGACGGAGCGTTGACTTCATTAGACGAGACCTCTCCAACTTAACGTTTAGGTTCAGTGTGCCTCTAACCATTCGGTGATCGCTGCCAGTTTTCACCCTTGCGATCACTGAGATATCACTGAACAGTTGGCGTCTGGTCGTCATAATGAAGTCAATCTCATTTTTTGTCGAACCGTCGGGGCTCGACCAGGTCCACTTCCTGTGAGGCCGCTTCTGGAAGAAAGAGCTCATCATAAAGAGTCCCTCTTTCTCCATAAAGTCGGCCAGCTGCTGGCCCCTTCGGTTCCGTTGCCCTACTCCAAATCTCCCTAACTTCAGCTCACCGTTTTCTCTTGTGCCTAGTTTTGCGTTGAAGTCTTTCATCAACACCGTGTAGTGGGTTTTGGAGGAATGCATGGCTTTGGAAATATCTTCATACATTTCCTCCACCTCCTCATCGGAATGTGCCGAGGTTGGTGCGTATACCTGTATGACCTTCAGCGAATACCGTTTGGTGATTCTGAGTATCAGGTACGCGACCTTCGTCGACACACTCCCAATCTTTACAACGTTGTTGACGAGAGACTTGTGGACGATAAATCCGACACCTCCTTGGGACAGATGGTCGCCCTCCCGGTGATAGAACAAGTTGCCGGATTCGAGAATCACCGTGTCCTCCCCCTCTCTTCTGACCTCGGATAATCCTATAATACTCCAGCGCAACTTGTCTATCTCTTCTTCCAGCTCCAGGATCTTCTCGTCAGTCCTCAGTGTGCGTGCGTTAAATGTTGCCAGGTCGAGTCGTCGTAGGTGGCAACCGAACCTCCACCGGAGATTCTTAGCACCCCCCTGCCCCGCCGTTACCATGATCGCCACCGTAGCCAGGAATAGCGGAACCGCCGGGGACTGGGGCCGTCTATTTGTGTAATTGTTCATGGGAGGTATATTGCCATAGTTGCCACGCTTGGCGAGCGGGTTGGCAACCGCAGTTTTTTTTTGTCGTACAGTTGCTGTTATCAGGAAGATGCTGCTGCCCATCTCCTGCCTGTCTCCCTCTGTCGCCTTTTACGACACCCACGGGAAGATATGGGGTAGTGGATATTCTTAACCGCCACTACACGGCAATTTTTTTCCATAAAATGGTGGCTTATCTTCATTTTAAATTTTTAGCAGCTAATAAGTACATATAATAAACAATACGGTTACGATTTTGTCCCCCACAGTTGTCTGACCATAGATTGATTTCGTGAACTCCCTTAGAAGCTAATTTAATACAAAAATCGTATAAACAACTAGTTACTTCATTAGCCCCCCTCTTAGCCGTTTGCTCATCCCACATATAACAAAACGCTTCTTTTGATCCCATATTATAAATTGTAAAATTATATACATTGAGCTTACGCCTATAATAATACACACTTATATTACCATGTGGTGAGCTTAAAACTTTTTGAAAATCAAATACAATACCAACTACTTTGTTACTAGAGACAGCTAACAGTTTTACATTCTAATTTTAATTTACGGTAAATTTATTTTTCTGTTTGATGTTTTGTGATGTGTGTAAGTTTTCTTTCAATTCATCTGTACGGCTAGATGTATTTTTGTACTGATGACAGATATCGCATTGGTCTTATTTTGGTAAATGAAAACCTATCTTCAAATTAGTATTAACAACATCTCTATACTATCTTACTGTCTGTACTCTAACATTATAATTATTATCAGAACACCACTCATGGTACAACTTAAACATTTTAGAAAAAGATAAAGACGCTTCTAAGTATTTTTCACTCGTACGTTTTCTAACGTAGTGGGACTCAACAGGGGTGAAATAATTAACGTGATCTATGACACTCTGTTTCATTTCGTTTGAAATTACATAGTTATGGTTTTTATGCCGACCTCTGTCGTCAGTAACATGAGTAAAATCATTGTTTTCTTGGATTTTTCGTATTGCAGTATATACAAAATCTTTACTAATATCAAAGGTGTTCAAGAACATTGTTTTGCAAACTTTTTGTAATATGATACCATTGTCAGAATTTATAGAAAGGTGATAATGCAAAGTGTGTGATCGACGACTAGATTCACTTTCAACATTAGTGGCAGTCTTTTTACTTTTTTGTATTACATATTTGGCAATGATTTGCAATTGTTTTGCGTGATCACCAGTATCCCAAAACTTATCAAAAAGGTCAATACGAACTTCTTGGCTTATTTTATTATAGCATTGCAGACGACAATTGACACAACTGACTTTAATGCTTCTTGGTGCTTTTTCCTTTTGACGTAGTATACTGCAATCTTTTTTTACACAAACGTTTTCTCTTGCTACTTATCCACTCATCTTCAAGTTTAAGACGTTTGAGACCCACATCAGTTCTTTTTTTAGATCTACGTTTATTATTTTTTGGGGTCGATACTGCAGAATAGTCACTATAATTAAACGTTGCAGGCGAGGAAATTGAATTACAGGGAGTAGATATTGCCGATACTGAATTTGTGTTATTGCTGAGGCAGTTAACCATATGCGAATCGGGAAGACTTTCCTGGACGGACGTACTGATTTCTGGTGTGAGTGTTCTATCTTCGGTTTCTTGGCAAGAAGTCGGCACTAAAGTACCGTTTAAACTTTGTGAAGATTCCGAAAAATCACTATAAGGTGAAGGTACGGGGGTATTATCTATGCTGTCAGAAGGATCATTAGAGACGAATGAAAACAAAGGTTCGATAATTGATGGAGTTAATGTCAATGGAGAAGGTTTTTGGGTTGAAGTCAATACATTTGGTGAATAAATATTAAGTGGAGTTTTAGGAGCCCCCAAGTCATTCAAATTTATACCTTGTAATACTACATCATTTTTGTAATTTTCTATTTCTCTACTTGCAGAACTGACTATAGAATAATCATGCTCTTGAATAGGCTCTTCAAACATGACGTGATTATACAAAGCCACGAATTCAGGATTATCAACTTCAGCAGGTAATGGCGAGGATTCTATAACAATAGGGATAATGTGTTTAAATCATATGATTATTTTTGTAAAAAACATGTACATTAAAAATATACTCAAGGTACCATCAATAAACTAATTAACACTCGTTTTTACATAAGTATTTACAACGGTAAAGTCGCTAAGTAGTGCATTTTACAAACGAATAAGTATACACGAACGCATTAAACTACGCTAACTAAGTGTTAGCGTAGTGTTACACGGACTCTGAGCTAAGCTGCTCAAATTTTCAAAAAAACGTGGCGTATTACTATAAAACATAATTATATACTTTGACCTACACTGTAATCCTTAATAACACATTAAACTTACCTCTCTCGTCAGTATGAAGTGGTATCTCACCATTTTTATCAAAACTCTTCAATGAATTTTTCTACTTTTTGGCTAAATCCACTAAATATTTAGCTCGTTTTCGTGACATTTTTGTATTAATAAATTAACACTAACAATATTTTAAATAACTTGTAACAATAACGTTAGATGAATTATGATTTACTTATAAAGTTTTTAAAACCGCGCAATCACATCTAACACAGCGACAAGTGTCGTTAGATTAATGTAAACAAACAAGCGGTGCGTGCCCCTCCCGTGCACACTCCGCTAATAATAGTTAGCGTAATTTAAATTGAGTGATTTCGAAAAGTACCTTTACTTAGCGTTGTATAAGATTTGTAACTTCGTTATTTTTGTATATTTCTTCATGATTTTTTATCAATTATAAAAATAGACATTTTAAGCAACTTGGCATAAAAAAACGAATTTCCCTACAATTCGAGTTAGCGTAGTATAAATTGTTGGTGTCGATGTGCTCTTTTGTAATCCATGTTCCTTTGTTTAGTAGATGGAAATAACGTAAAATCCATCACCTACAAATATTTCGTTACGTAAGCGACATATGTGAAGAATATTTCTTACAAAATAACGCTCTTCTTACACGTTATTTTAGTATTTGTGACATAGAGATCGATTAGTGTGCGTTATTATTATTGTAAAACATCATTTCTGTGTTTTGTATATGAATTAATTCTTCTTAAAATAGAAATTGTTTTAATATTTCTTTTACAAAACTTTTTTATCTTAGTTCATTACCACAAAATATTTATTTACATTTGATTTCTCTTAGTAATATAATAAGAATTCCGCTATCATATAAGCAAAGTCATCGATGATGGTTCTCGAGTGACAGTCTCGTACCATCATGCATCCCGCCACTTGATGGAGTGACAACCTAGTAAGAAAGTCAGGCAGGTGGCTCAGGACCGTGTTTTGTGGCGTACTTTGGATGGATTTGAGAGGGGCTGTAATTATGAAGGTGATGTCAAATAAACTTTTTGTTAATAGGTTCTGTCTGTCTAAATGTAAATCTTCATGGAAATAAATAAAAATATTGGAGTATATTTTGCAAGCACCACATACAATCACATAATACCAAACATTTCTTAAAAAATCGAGTAATTGGTTCACCAACTAGGCCCACCAAGAATTTAGCACCGAACATCATGCAAACCTATACTATACTTGTCTTGTCTGCTGGATTGAGTGACGTCTAATATAATGGAAAGGTTTGTATTTTCAATAGCGTGCAGAAGACCGCTAAGCGGTCAGCCACCGCAGAATCTACTTCAACTGAGGATGTCGGTGTCTTTCCTGGTGTAGTGGTGTTGGTAGTAGTTGTGCTGGGATTAGTGTTGACGTAGATAGTACACGCCATTGTGCGGGAGGAGCTCTTTAAACTATAAAATAAACAGTAATCTTATTCTTGAAAAAGGATCTTAATATTTTATTTTAAATTATGCCATATTTATTTCCTGTCGTAAAATATCCTTTTATGCATATTATCTGTACAAAATAATTTCGATGTTTCACATCGCCAGGCATCCCGCGATGGCTCTCAATTTTTTTGACATCAATAAGAACTTAAAATTGCAATTAGCAATTTAGCTGGCGGGATCGCGGTGAAGATTGAACTCAATTTGCTTGCATATAGTGCACATGCTGTCACACTTGTACAAAATGAAATAAACATTTTTGTTATAATAAAAATATAAAAGTTATTTTCAAGTACACTTTCACCATTTTGATATCAGATTCAATGTCTGTGCTTATGACATAAATAGTTAAAATATACAAATAAAGCCGACAGCAACTGAAAAAAAACCATTTTCAGTATCAGGCATCTCGTGATTTTAGGTACAAAAGTGGGATAGTATTTAAAACATAAGGTAAAAATGGGATAGTATTTTAAAACTGTTAGGTTAGTCCATATACTATTTTCACTTATTGGATGAAAGATGACAAACAAGCACACAGTCTACCTGTCCTTAGGTGTGACAATACATTTTGATTGTTATTCGAGGATAGTACTACCATATAGATGTTTATAAGCACCAGCATCCACTTACCATCAGTTGGGCGGTGTGCTCGCTTGTCACACTTATTCTATAAAAAATAAATAAATTAAGATGGATTTCTAAACGATTTAAACTCGAGTCCATATAATAGGAAAGTAGCGTTACTGTAACCGCGAGACTTAAGAACGCTTTATATCCCGGTCCAAGGGAAGTACAACGTTAATTTGGACGTTCAGTATCCGCACAAACCTCATCAAATAAAGCCGCAATACGCTCTAAAAGCTCTTTGCTTGCAGGTAACCGGACTTTAATGTTGCTAGTTGTTCCCGTTTTGAGGGTTTATTTCTTTTGGAGAACTTGCGAGGTTTCCTTAGGTTCATTATTTAGTGGTTGCTCAATCGGTAGTTTTAAGCACAAATTATTTATCTTTTATCTTTATTTTTTATCTTCCTCTATTCGGTAAATAATTCTGAATCTATTTTGAACCGATTGCACCTGATGGAGGGTAATGTTTTTCGAGTGTGTGTATGTGTGTCTATTTCTTTAGCGCTATCTGTAGTAGCCTAAGCAGCTTGACGGATTTCAACATATATAGGGAGTCGTTAGATTCGACTTAATTGTGTAAGTGCTGTGATTTATGGACCAATATATACTGTATCCACACTAGATAAAAAAATAAAATTCAGTTAACAGCGCAACCGAATTTTATTTTTTATCCTTAAGAACTGTTCACAGAACTTTGCGCTGGCATTCTATGCTAGGGTGATCTCCCCGCGGTCTAACAAACCCAATGGTACTGCAGTTATAAGCATGATGCTCATGGTAGTTGTCATCCTCCGTAGTGAATGATCCATACCGGCCATGACACTAAGGTCCTCTCAAAGTTCAAAAATGTTGTTATAAAATACAGTACACTTTGTTATTTCAGTTTAACTTCTTATACTTCGTGTTGCGGAAGTGGGCTAAGAGGTACTAAATCCAAATGATTCAAGTTCATGACCTAAATTGTACAATAGAATTGTGTAACAGAAAGTACGGTTGCAGCAAATATAGTCCTTTGTACAGAAAATCCTAACTTTAATGTTCTTAAAGTTCGTCAATAACGAAAGTTACACAAAAACAATCAAACATATTGTTTAAATACTAACGACCAAACAAGAATGTAGGCATAGCTAACATTAATATCTACGTATTTGAATCAATATATTTTATGGCTTTTGCCACCTCTAACGAAAATGCGGTTCTCTGCTCGCCTAATGGTAAATGTCAATCGCCGCCCATAAGAAAATGCAGGTGCGTTGCCGGCCTTTTAAAAAGGAGTAAGCTCATTTCATAAAGGTCCCTAAGTTGTGTCGGTCCAGAAAAACTTCTTTTGGTAAACAATTCCACAAGAAAGTCGTGCGAGGTAGGAAACTCAACTCAAGTCAACCAA